TATCTGATATCAGTTTATGTATTACAAACTAGCTGACGAAATTGCTATAGTTATGGCCAATAAGGATTTGTCATTTCAGGAATAGAGGTAGAATTTCCATCCATAAATAGAATATAGAACTTTCGTACAACATAATATGGGAACAAAATTCAGTTAGTCAATGACGACATGTAAAGTATGATCATCGAAATGCATGCCTTGTATAATTAGTAAAGTTCGGAATAGATAAGGTTTCATCATTCAGAATAGAATTCAGGGATTTCATTCATGGCTTTCAGGAAATTCAAAAAATGCATTTCAAGAAAATGACTTTCACGGACTTGAATTAAAATGATTTAGATATTATAGTTATGTAATTCACAATAAAAGACGATAGAAACAAAAACCTGTAAAGTGATTTATTATTTTACCTTAACAGATTCAGCCTCTAGAATAATTCGATTCTGTAACATTCGTATGTGATTAATTCGTATATATTAAATCTTTTTATTCGTTTGATAGACTTATTGTCCGTTTAATTTGGAAATTTTATCAATTTTAATAATAAAGGGGTATTTTTTTGGTGCTGTTTTTTAATAGGCTGGAATTTAGGGTTAGTTTTGATAATAATAAGAGTATAAGTGGAATTTGGTAAGGTTTATATTTAAATCGAGGTTTCTAATTTCTAGCTTCTGAGACACTACCAAATTATGCAACATTGTGGTATTAGCAAAATAATAAATAAAAATTACTAACGAATAATATATGAAAGAATAAACTCCAATATATATTACATTTTGATTTATTAATTTTGTGTAAATTGTATCTTTATTATTTCTTACACACTTTCAATTATTAATTTCTTCTTTGAGGAGATTTTGTTAAATGAAAAAATTGACAACTTGCCCATTAACAATGATAAAGAATTTTATCTTTATAAATTTTTAAAGTATTTAATTTTAACGAGACATTGATTTATTATAGGAGAATAGTTTACGTTAAATCCAATGATATTCCACAATTACTTACTAGGAAACTCTTTTGATATTTACAATAACAATGACAAGACGATAGCAATAACATGATTATCAGCGTGTAAAATTATATTATTCTGGATCATCGGGTAATTAATCCTATTAAGCCACTATGGCATACCAACCTGGTACACAATTCCGGATGCGAAATAAGCTTTTATTGTATTTTATTTTCAATTGAGTTCCGCAGGCACTTTTATATTAGGGTGATTCAAAACTAATGTTCAGGTTTCTGATTTCGAATAAATTAACGACGTATTTGTTTTGAAATGAGTGATTTATAAATTCTATTTTTTTTATGAGTGCCGACAAAAGAAATCCTGTCATCGAACTTTCAATTATATTTTGTGTACAGTTAATCGTCTATGGAAAATCTATCATTATGATAGATTTTCCGTAGAGGTCCAAATGATGATAATTGGGGGTTTCAGACCTAAGGTTCAGGGTTCTGATTTAAATTAAATTAGCGACGTATTATTTCGTAATCAGCGATCTATAAATCCTATTTATTTTTTATAAGTCTATTTATATAAGATATAATATACATCAAAAAAAAGTTTGTTTATTTTTAACCCCTTCTTCATTTTCTGATTTTGAAATTTCAAAACAAAAATAGGATTTATCAAACTCCCATTTATTTTCAAAATAAGTTAACTCAATATATCATCAGAAAAATAAACCTATTGCGTTTTCTAATTTCGGAATTTCAAAGCAGAAATGGGATTTTTTAAGCTCTCACTTATTTTAAAATACATAAATACCTGTCATATACATAAATAAAAAATAAATAAATCAGAAATTTTACTTCGTGAAAGGGTTATACATGCCGTAGAAATTATTGTGATATAACTTTTACCTGAGTTTTGACATGCGGCAATGTCTAAATCTAAAATTCATGTCGCAACTTATGACCAATGCCTTAAGCCATAATTAATGTCATAAATGTTGATATAGTGCCGAAAGTAATAAAGTATAGTTGGTATAGTGCCGAAAGTAATAAAGTATAATTAATATAGGGAATTGCTATTACCACCCCCCATTTTTGCTAATGCCACCCCAGATATCAAAAAGTGCCCGGAAGAGGTGTTTTTATTACGTAAACCCTTCTTTTGCTCTTAATTAAAGTTGTTCATCAGGTCTTTCTGGTTCTAATGGTAGTAAGATAATTATACTTAGATCAGTAGTTCCTAAGATATATATATCCGAAGTTAGTTAACTTTCATTTACTTTTTAAGAAAAACTATTGGTCCGATTTTAATGATTTTACTACGATTAGAACCAGAAAGGCCTGATGAACAACTTTTATTAAGATTTAAAAAGGTTTCTTAATAACAATACCTCATCTGAAGCACTTTTTAAAATTTGGGGTGGCATTAGCAAAAATGGGGGTGGAAATAGCAATTCCCTTAATATAATGCCGAAGTAATAAAGTATAATTAATATAATGCCGAAAGTAATAAAGTATAAAGTATAATTGATATATAATCGATTGATGTAGTGATTTTAAATGATGTAATAGAACCAAAAAAAGTGTATTTCGGATAGTTTACACTAATTTTATTTTAGCATCTAAACGCGTACCATACATATGTATCATTAATCATTTAAATTTAAATCAACTACATTAATTCTAGAATATTTAATAACAAGCAATCCAGTTCTCACTTTCTAAACTATCTATATTAGGGGTTTCAAAGATAGCGAAAAATAATGCACTTCAGAAATAAGTAGGGAGTGTTAAAATCGGAATGAAATTATAAATGAAAAATAAAAAATGAAAAAATCGAAATAAGAAAGTCCGAAAACACATACCCGTAGAAATTAGTTTCGGCTGCGCCGAAAGTATTTAGGCACCGATTTTTCGGCCACAAGTCATAATTTATGCCGCAATTCGAAACAAATGCCGAAATCCAAAACATAGGATCCTCTATAGTATAGGTGGGCAATATAGAAATATTATAAGATTATAATATATAAAACTCTAACCTAACCTTAATTTAAACTCTACCCTAACCTTAATTTAAACTATAACCCCCGAATAACTCCACTATTTATAAATTTGCTTAAATTAGTTCAAATAATTATTTTTATATATTATGATCTTATAATATTTCTATATTGCCCACCTATACTATAGATCAACCGATATGTGCGCTGGAATGTTACAGCTATATTTGTTAATTTTTTTTTTTTGACTCGTATTAAGAATTATCCAACTTTTCGGAAATTGCTCTATTCCCAGACTGAGTCTCAATAGATAGTGATATTGTTTTTAAAATATCCTATAATTTTAGGATGAGACCGAAGAGTGAATTTTTTGCAGAGTCTATTCATCCCTTTTGCGAAATATTAGTGGCCACTGTATAATTATAGTTAGTAGATCTCAGCTATCGGATAGTTAACTGATACTAAATATGCGAAAGAATATAGGTGCATATGAGTAAGCGAAACCGTACATAAAAGCATTAAGCTGATATGTAATAAAGACGTCATGAAAATATTAAGTATATCACGAAAAAATATAATATTAATCAAGATACAAATTCAATTTATCGTAAAATCTAGTCACGAAATAGCAAAAATAAATAAAAATCAATATATTCCTTATCCTAAGATATAAAATCTAACAATTAATAATTGTGGCAAATTAAAATGAAATCAGATTAAAATGAAATTTTTCTATTTTTTTAGGAAAATTTTAAATTTTTTGGGGGACATTTTTTAGGGTTAGGGTTAGTATTAGGGTTAGGGTTTAGAGTTAGATTTATTAATAAAAGAGTATAAGTGGGTTTTATAAGCTTTAAAGGTGAGCAAGAAAGGTCCCCAGTTTCATTTTAATCCGATTTCATTATGATCTGCGACAATAATTGTAAAGCAAATGTTAGAGATAATATCTTCGTCTATATGTTGTAAATAGTTTCGATATTCTTTAACTAAAATTTAGGTAAAATTTGCCATATATAAACCCATACCCTAATCCAATTTAACTAAGAAATTCCGCATCCACTTAAATCCCATTTCTATTTACAACGTATATTCATTTTCGTTTTCCTTTTGTAATCCCTACCATATATTTCATAAAATAAATTCTTCTTAATTATATTTAATAATATGCTTTCTATATATATTAAGAGCAACAAATAAATGCGGCTATTTACAGGTAAGGCTAGACAATGACTAACTAAACGTAGTATAGCATATGATTAAGTAAAGTTCACATGAAGTAATACAGGGATATGCGGAAAAATAAGTAATAAGAGGGCTGATATGAAGACTGATACGGAAAGAGTATGATGAAGTCACAATGACATTAATGAATATAAATAGGCGTATTGTAAAATTCATGTTGCTGCAATATTTAAATATAAACTATGCTAAATATTGTAATAGTAGAATTATCCTAATTAAACTGTACAATACTGGTCAAAAATACTGGTCAAAAAATACAAGTTAAATTTTCATTTGACTTTAAGAATGAACTCATACAGGAAGATCCTAAAATTCCGGAGTTTTGATGAGCTCCCTATGAAAAATGCAAGAATATAACAACTTTAGGTGTTGTCACATTGTGATTTACGATTTGATATAACTATTTGTGATAATCAGAATTTTTAATCCATAATGTGTACTACTATTAATTTATATTTACTTTAAAATGTGGTATAAATTCGCGTACACGGTGTATGAATAACTTATGACTTAATATTCTCACAAGAACATTTTTTTAAGTCCTTAATGTTCTCAAAAATTTTTTAAAGCAAAATATAGCGAAAATGTTTATTTAATGATCACAAATAGAGAACATATTTTAATATTACATTCTTAAAATTTGATTAGTGTTCTCGAAGAACATTGAATTTCGCACACTGGTCGTGCTAATTTTAAAGTATTTTCTTTGTGCCTAAAAAATTTCAATTAATTTTACAAACAGTTGAATATCTTTAGTTTAACGTTGGATAATTAGGATATTTTCGGTACAATCAAACAATGTCAAGCAATTTAAATCCAACATACTTCGAAGATAATGAATACATTAAAATGTTTCGAAGTTATCATGTATATGAATTGGAAAATTCGGCAATCGAAAGCGAAGGAGAAGTTAATATTTCAGATTTCGGTATAGTTACAAAAGGTTATTTTCGACAGTCGGTCGTGATGAAGCACATTCCGCCTGAGTTTATTAATAATGACAATGCAAAGTTAGAAAATATTGTAAATATATGAACTTTTTTACATTCGATATTACTAATTGATTAACTAAATTATACGAACTCTTAATAGATCCACAAAATGAATAATATAAGTCATCCGAATATTCTACAGTTTCTTGGGGCTACTTATGGTGCTTATCTTTTTTCTTTAATGTTATAATTTAGAACTGTTATCTCAGTTCCGGACTAGATTTGTGGTAAAAATAATACTAAAATTACTCATAAAGGGAGATCTCCAAAATCGGGTCGGAATGCATCGGAACATGGTCTGCTGGGCCGGAATTGAGTGATTTTGTTCAATTAAAAAATTTACTAATGAAATCGTAGTCATTCATTAAATAAAAAATGTCCAGCTGGTAATTTTTGCGCATTGTCTAAGCTGTTTATTACTACTTAATTACGGTCCAACGCCGATGCATTCCGACCTGGAATTTTGAAGATTGCCCTGTAAAAAAATTTACAAAAATTAGGGATCACGTGATATCGAATTGAACTTTAATCGAAGGTTAGATTGTCCAGGATTATAATCTGATCAATGCAAAATTATGCGTGAGGCAAATCTCGAATTATGCGATTACGAGAATCCCGGAAAAATAATTTCGCTAACCAATCAAATATTTCAAGATCAGGTGAATGTAGCACAATCCGTAGCATGAAGGAACCCCTCATAAAATTTTGTTGTAAAATAATATCTCTTGAGTCTTTACTGTGAGATATGTTGAATTTTTGTGTGGAATATACACGTGTCGAAGATTACGATTACATTGCACGACTAATACTCTCATAATTCTACCGGAATTAGACTAGCATTAGTCGCCTTAATCCGTGTAACATAAATGATTCCAATTAACCAATAGAAATTCTTCATACCCAATTATGCAAATTCGTATATACATTTTATAATCCTGGACACTCTGTCGAAGGATAATGTTTGATCACGTGACACATGAAGTTAATTTTAGAAATTATACTTGCGATATTCAAAATAAGAATATTTACGGAATTTTCTTTTATAAGACCCGGAAACGAAACGTCACATGATAGTACTAGAATATGCCGAAAATGGCACCCTACAAGATTATATTTCAAAAAATTTCAATAACCTTAAACCGGCTACAAAATTGAAAATTGCAAATGACATAGCGCGAGGTTTAAAACATATGCATGATCAAGGAATAATTCATCGAAATCTGGTAAATTTTTTTATTTATTTTGTTGCAATTTATATATATTTACAAAATATTGATATTTTACCCACGTAAGAATACAAAAACGATCTTTATGGGTAATGAAAAAGCTCAAATATCAAATCCAATATTTCTAGAATTAAACATTGATGCATCTTCAGCAATACCGTTGCAAGGAGGAATGATAGCATTTTTTGATCCAGAAATCTTAAAAAATCATAATTTGCCTTTTACATCAGCTTCAGATGTTTACAGTCTAGGTGTTATAATGTGGTCTATATGTAGTGGAAAATTACCATTTGAATGCTTTACTAGCCAAAAGGATTTAATTGAACAAATCGTATCTAAAAACATTCGTGAAGAACCAGTCGAAAACATTCAGCCTGCATATCTTGACTTATATCAAAGGTGTTGGGATTTGGATTCAGAAAAACGACCAGCTATGCAAGATGTGTGTAATCAGCTAAAGGTTATGTTACAAGAAGAACTACGAAACAGAGATGGTATAGTAGTAAATGAGGAAGTTTTGCTATAATACATATTTGATAAATTTTGTAAAATCATAATTTGAATATTTAGGTCAAATAGATACTCCCGAAATCTCTCAACTTGAAAATAATCCAAATGAAGTTCCGGAGGCAGATGAAAGTAAGGCCGGCGAAAGTAACCAGCAAAAGGTATCATATGACGCGATGCCTTCTCGAAAAACACCTTGCATGGAAAAGGCTAAGAAAATTTTTGATAAACCAAAAAGATTTTGCAAGCTTTTATTTTGCATTAAATAAAAAATTTCACAATTTATTGGGTTTTATTTTATTTTAATTTTTTTTTTTGCTTTATGCTTTACCGTATAGACCCGAAATAACGCGCAGGGGTGTAATTTCAATTTTCGGCCTAAATTAAGCTTAATTCGGGCCGAGATTCGAAATAACGCCCCTGTGCGTTATTTCGGGTCTATACGATATGACATAAACATTATGTAATAAAATTTGTAAATAATTAGATTTTCATGTATTCAAAATTTTACATTTCATCATAAGTCGAATTCAGTTTAATCTGGAAAGTTTAAAAAACTAGTGATGGGCAACGTGCGTGATTTTTTATATAAGATTATCTGGCCTGCGTTATCACATTATCTGGCCTACGTTAATATACCATCCGGCCTGCATTAACATAAATGGGCCAATTTCTAATTAGTAAGCATATTACAGTATTTTATACTTTATTAAATATTATTATACAGTATATATTATTAATTAGTTAATTAATTAATTTATTTTTTAATTTCTAACTTATAAAATTAAGCTTAAATTGTATAAGAAATTTCTATACCGATACATGTTTTAAAGTAGGCAAAATCATATATGCATTTTTTATTTAATAAATACAGTAAGATTTATAAGCAATAATTATTATTTTACACGAAATTATACTGTATTCACATCGATGATCTTTATATATATATTTATTATTCGTGAGAAATTCAAAACTCTACTCAATCCTTCGAATCCCGCGATTTGCCCATCACTATCTGGAATATATAATAAAATTTCGTGTACTGCCTTTCTTGCCGTATCTAACAATTTCATTTATTTAATTTTACAAAAAATTATTTTTCACATAAACGATACCATTAAGGCATTATTGTAAAGACTCCACAATGTAAAGACTCCACAATTAACATATTATTACAATATTTATTAATTTATTAAACTACCTTCTTTTATTGTATTTGAGCGAAATAACTCCCATTATATTATTTTACACATTTGTTAATTTTTTTATTCGACTTATTCCCTATATTTAGCTATTTATTAAAATTTTTAATCGAATCTACTGTGTAAAGCAAATCCAGAGATTTTATTTTATTGCATTTTTTTAATAAAAATGCATATAATCCCTGACCAATTCCATCAACGAAACTTTTTCATGTTATGCACTACAGCTGTATTTATTTTAAATCAAACGATTGAGTATAAGTACATATTTGGTTTCATTTCTAAGATAAGTACATGAAAGTATGTGGGTAGTGTTATTGTTTCGCGTCATTTTTCAATTTATGTTGCTTCGAAATTGACACATCATTTGTAAATAAAAAATAAATTTTTTATTTTACAATCAGTATAATTTTACAAATCTAAAATTTTAGATTCACGCTTTAATTTTACGTATAAATTTTGATTCGAATACATGAACCTTAAGCAAAGAACGAAAAAAAAAATCAAATAGAAAAAAATTAATAATTTGACAATAATATTTTAACACACATTCACATTTTCTAGTGCATAGTAAATTATTTTCAATAACTGTAGGCAATAGTATTGCAATTTGTTTTTCAACAATGGCAATAGTTTTCTTGATTTGTTCTACTTAAACTGGTATTCATTTCACCATTACTAAAAAAATTTTTTTAAAATTTATTTAACTTTAATAATTTACTTACTTATTTACTTTAAAGATTTGTTATTAATTGTAATAAAGTTTTACTTAAATCCAGCTTGTTGTAATGAAATTGTGTTGATTAAAAGAATCACATCAAGGTTAGGATAATTAGAAGTCCCTAACGGTTTAAACTCACTTGCTGAGTACCAGTTATCAAGGATTCCAAACTTGCTTAGGATTTTTTGAAAAATTTTGCAAGGCAATAATCTTTGCTGCATCTTTAATATCAGGTATGCGAATTTTTACGAAGTTACTAGATTCTAATATTTGTTCTTGTTTTGTTTTGTACTTTTGTATCTTATTTCTTTTAACATTTAGGATTGCTAATTATTGTTCTATGAATGTTTTCCTGTTATTGCCTACAGCAAAAGACGCATTAACTCAAGTATTACAATAATATATGCTTATATAATAATACAAGCAATTGGAGGGCTATTAGTACAGTATAAATTTTGGAGGCAGTACAAAAATTAACCAGGAATTCTAAATACTAACACTAACTACCGCCGTAAAATTTCTCGATTTTGAGCAATGATCAAAGAATTAGGGAATTCTACCAATGAAATCTCAGCCGCCTATTAAGTGAAAATTTTTCCTGGGCGGCCAAATTTACTGTAATGTGGGCTTATTTTTAATAAATTTCAATTTTTGTAATGAAAAAATCAAATTAATTCCGGCTAGAAATTAGTTTTCAAATTTGTAATGCAGGCCAGAAATTTTGCAGATCACGGCAGTTAGCCAATCAAAATCGAGAACCTGTCTTGATGCTTATTTCCCGAGTTTAAGAGATAGGTAACCCAATACTTTCAAAAGGACGTGGAAAGGTGCAGATTAATATACCACGGAGAATTCACGATATTTCCCAGATTTCCAGAGTTTTCAAGACACGCTCCAATCGGATTTTTAATTTTTACTAAGCACATTCTTAGATTTCCCATATGGGCATATGGAAATCGTTTTCCACATATTTTTGAAAGCAGTTGTAAAACTTGGATTATGTAGCAGGTTAGGATTTTCAATACATAAAAACATTCATTATAATGACTTTTATCCATTAGCAACATTTATTTTTTCTTTGATTAATAAAAGTTTTAAGTATTTGCTCAAAAGTCTCACGACTTAGAAAATTGAAACTTTGTGGATTCGTAATTAAATAATATAGAAGAAATTCAAAGAATTATTTTAAACAACTTGCGTTTTTTTTATTGTAAAACCAAACAAAATATGTAATATATTCTACATAATAAACTTTCATATATCGTAAAATACGTAATATTATATTATGCAGTTTTCTTTATATCGATAAATTTAGTTTAATATAAAATGCATTATGATTGTCCTGAGGTATTTTTTCAATCGGGTGGAGATTAAATAATAAAACTTGTCAATTCATAATCAACAAATTTTAAAAATGACTGTCACGTTACAATATCCATAAATTTTTTTGGCCTGTCCATATCCATGTCCATAAATGTCCATGCACTTTATATCTAGTTTCGCTCATTTCGCAGACAAATCACTTCATAGTTAACTTAGTCACAGGATATTGATTTATTTTTTTATAGCGATTAATTCACAGACAAGTTCACCGACAGCTCATTTCATAGTCAAAGTAATTCTATCATGGTTAGGTTTAGAATTAAAATTAATGCAAATTATAAAAAAACCTTTTTGTGAACAAGCTATTGTTAAAATAGATTATTTATGAAAATGAACTTAAGTATCTCGAACTAAGTCGTCAACTAAATGAATGTTGGTGAAATGATACGAATCCTTTTAATATTCTCAATAATATTTTGACCATATTTATAATATTAACTAGAGAGAAATAATTATCCACTCTGATATAATCTATTTATTCACTACATCTTTAAATTTAATGTATTATTTCTTCGATTCCGATCAACTCACGATAACGCGATAATTGCTTCAAAGGCATCAATCACATTTCATCATCACTCATTTCAACAACAAGCTTATTTACAGAAAACTTATCTTGTAAACAGTATAATTCACCAAAGTCCATTTCACAAAGTAATTCTAGTCGTTGTCGTTAGTGTTAGATTTAGAATTAGAGTTAAGGTTAATGCAATTTGTTAAAAAACTTATCTGTAAAATGAGCTTGTCTGTAAAATAAGCTTGTCGATGAAATGAGTGTCGATGAAATGTTGTGTTTTTAAGCAATTTTCGGTTAAATATGCTAAGTCAAATTAAATAATAGTGTAAGTGGATACCAAATACAAATTTCTATTTTCAAAGAGTTCAATATAAATAGAATTATATTCTTGTTCTAGAGATGCAGTTTTTCAAAAATCACGCATGTCACGCGCGGGATAGGATCACAAATCTGCGGGTTCCTTAATTTTTTTCCCAATAAAAAGCCGTGCAAATATTATTATTGAAAATCAATTTTATTATCCTACCGTAAATTTTGAAATAGGGGCTGTCATTGTTTCGAATTTCGGCCCAAATTAAGCTTAATTCGGAACAAATTTCGATATTTCGAGAATTTACGGTAAATATGTTAATGCAGGCCAGATATTATATTAATGCCAGACAGATGATATGGCCAGATAATTTTATCTGGAATCATAATAAAAATCCCGCGCATCATGCACGCGCCCATCTCTAGCATGTTCATATTTTGTAATACAGTAAACCTCGATATGTGCACGCCTTTGGTACCAAACTTTAACAATGTGCATTTAGAGAATAATAGAAAAGGTGCATTTATAGAGGTCAGATATATGGTTGGGAACCTTTTTTGTAGCATATTACATATTATATAAAATTATTTGTAATATAAATTTGTCAGATACAGTAAATTTATATAAGTGTATATTCTAGGAAAAATCTCTAACTAATGCATTTAGAATAAATGTATTTATGAAGATTATGCCAGAATTTAAGTAATATTTAGAGAGGTGGTGTATTTACTACAGTGCGGGACAGCAAGAGACATCCAATCTATACATATAGGTGCCAATTTTTGGTGCTTATATAATCAATTCTGATTGGCTAATTTTGAGCAATTGATTTTGATTGGTTAAAAACCTCTATATGTTTTCTTTTTTTTATATTAAATGCCAATTTTTTGAACTCATATAAACTTTAATCTCTTATAAGATTTTTAAAACAAAGAATAAAAAAATTTATCAATTTGTCAGAGTTTTTTGATTTAGCTTGTTTTAAAAAAGTTATATCATTTTAAAGTTTTATTAATAGACATTGGATATCTCTTGCTGTCCCGCACTATATATACTATTAACAAATAGCAGATAGAACAATATAATTATAAAAAATTTACATAATAAACTCTTTTCCATTTATCACTAGTACAAAAATTTATCTAAACCTGCATAACAAAAAAATTTATTTTTACAATAATTTATTAAGATAATCTATTTCTTGCTTTAATAAAAGTTATTCTTTATACAAAACTATATATAGTTTTAAAATTTTAATTAAACTGGCTCAAAACTTATTAAGCAATAGCTTTTTAGAACAAATAGGCTTCTTTTGCTATTTATATTGAAATTAGCTTCTAAACCTTTGTTTAAACTTAGAACAAATTTGTTCTACACATTCTTCTCTTCAAAACAAGCTATAATAGACCTTTATAGCTTTAATATTGTCTGAGTTACAAGTAAAACAATTTCTATTTTGTTTGCTTCTTCTTTTTCTCTTTTACTTTGGAGAATTATTTTCCCAAATACACAGAGATATTTTCTGTACAATCCATATTGCCCCAATTGTGCTATCCATGCCCTACACACTTCTAAAATTATTAATATTTATTAAATTACACTAAAATTACTTAATTATTAACTAATATTGATATCTGCCTTTTTAATACTTCTTATTTATACAATAAGATTTCCTTTTTGACTTTGTAACATGTGATATCAGATGACTTTTTGTATATTATAAAATTGAAAAATTCTATTTTTAGGTCACATGACCTTGTATAATCTAAAAAATAACCTCCTTTTTATTCTATTCGTAGAAAATATATTCTTGAATCAAATAAAGGCAATTCTATTAAATTCAAATGATAGCTCTCTTTATGATAAAACTTTACAATCTTGGGCCAAAAAAAATTTTGGCTTGAAAAAATTATGCCAGAAGATTATAGAGTAGTTATAAAGAATACCAATAATCTTGTATTAATAGTTGAGAAGTTCTATGAGGTTTTAATGCAACATAGTGTTTAGAAATAGACTTGGAAGTTAATTCATGAAAGATGGTGTTCATTAAACAAGAAATTTTTGAACAATTTGTAAACAATTGCACAGCATGTGTAGCAAGAAAACTATTATTTCATTCTTTAACAGCAAGACCAATTATTGCAAATAATTTTTTATTATGTCTACAGGTAAATGTTATATTTTAGGATTAAATCATAAATTAGAATTTTTTTTAAATTATATTTTATTTTACAAATAGATTTGATCAACCTATCCTATAGTCCAGATAGTGAGTTTAAGTATGTATGCCATGTTAGAGACTATTTCAGTAGGTTTTTATAATCTAGGGCCTTAATATCCAAGAGGCTGATTGAATTTGCATTGTACTTTTTTGATCTTTTTATATAATCAGATTATTCCTAACTATATTATAGTCAGATAATGGAAAGGAATTTGGCGCACAAGTCATCAGAGAACTGATTGGTTTATGGCCATCAGTAAAGATTATTAATAGATGCCCTAGACATTCCCAATCACAAGATCTTGTTAAATGCACTAATAATATTTTGCAGCAAAAGTTAGAAAAGTAGAGAGAAACAACTGGTCAAAGCAACTAGTTATTTGGGTTAAGGTTTATTGTAGTAGCTATAAACAATTCATAGTGTAAATTCTACAAAAAAACTCCTTATGAATTAGTTTATAGTGACAAGCTCCGTGGCAACTGTTCTCTTGTTAATAAACTTTATGAAAATAGTATTTTTAATGAAGAGGTAATTCCAAATACTATCAAAATTCTCAATGATTATAAAATAGATTTGAATAACAATATATTTGATATAATGATTTAAATAATATAAAGCATTTTAATTATTTTATTACTTTAAACTTTTACTATTTATTTTAAAGTTTTCATTTAATGATCAAGAACAATTATCTGAGCTTGGTTATACAGTTTCTTTGCCCAGTAATTATATTAGTTATTTAGTGTTTTTGCTCCAAAATCTAGTAACTATTGTAATTTTCCAGTGTCTTCGCCAGTATTAGAAATCTGTTTTAAGATTTATGTTCTCATGAAAACATATTTATTTGATTTAGTGTTCTCAAAATTTTATTTATGTTCTCAATATTTAATCACTAAAATTATTAATATTCTTATTTTCAGAAATTATTAAACATTTGTTCTAATTTTTATCCCAACTCTTCTCTTATTTTATATTCATTCATTTTCCTTTCAGATAAATTCAGAATTTCTATTTCCATCTGGAATTTTGCTATTATACTTAAAGAATATGCTTTTTCAGCATCATGTTCTCAAATTTTTTTTTTATAGAGAACATATATAGAATATTAAATGTTCTCAAATTTAAATTGATGTTTTTATGAGAATATGAGAATATAAGATTTTCAACACTGGGCTTTGCCAAACAACTATAATAAATATATATTAATTTGTATTATAATATATATATATATATATATATATATTTTAACAATCATGTCACAACTTTATTTTATATTATAAGATTTACATTTATAAGAAATGTAATATCTATTTATAGCTATGCTATTTTAAACTAAAGTGTGGCTCACCCGGTTGCCAATTGGTATCTATGTGCGACCTGCCAAAGTAGAATTAACCTCACTACCTTTTCCTTATCTACCTCAGATAGAGAAAATGCAGTTCATCAGCCTGGATCTACAGCCTGTTATGATCTAACTTAATTTTTGTTCCACCTGGACCACCTTCTGGTCCATATCTATTTGTTTACCTTCTCCGTTACTAAATTCACTTTTTCTTTAAAATTGTCTAGAAAGTTTTTTTCTTTTTTCCTCCTCTTGAGTCTTTCCTTGCCAGCGTTCGGTAGATCTCTCTAATTAGGTACGCTTGTCCTTCTGGTATTCTTTATTGCCTGGGGCCTTTTCTCTTTTTTCTTTTTGGAGTATATTTGCAACTCTTTTTTCCATTTTACAGTTTCTTCGCATCGTTGGAGCCAGATTTTTTCTTGAAAGAAGCTGTGCCACTTGTCCCACCATTCAAGTATTATTAGTTCTGCATCTTTTTTGGTGATTCCTGTTGATATAAGTGAGCTGATAGGTCTGTCTTAATTAGTCCTCTTGCCAGATAGTATATTTTCTTATGTCAGTCTTTGGTGCTTCCACCTGCGAACGCTGAGTAGATATTGTTTTGGGAGATTTTCTTTTTTATGGAGTCCTCAAGGTTTTCCCATATTTCTTTTGCAATTAAATACTCTTTTTCTACCCAGTGTTGTTCATCTATTTCACAGGACGTTAGATGTTCGAAGTCTTCCTCTTTCTTTTTACATTTTTTGCAGATTGCTGTTGGGTATAGATCTTCGCAGTTTCTTTTACGTAGATACAGTGTAGGCAGTAGTCCACTTAGACTCTTTAGTCAAAAGCTCTATTTTTTATTTGCTTTAAAAGATCTTGCTTTTCTTTTTTTTCCTTTTTCCACAGGTTTCTAAATATTTTCCAATCCTGGTTATCAATTCTCCTTTGATGAATGCTGTCCTTTTGGCTTGAGGCAAATAACCAGTCTGCTTTGTAAAATGTTTGGGTAAGTATTTTGATGAAGCTTCGTATTGGAGCATCGATTGGTTGTGTATTCCAGGTTGGTCTGAGCATTATTCCCTGTATCTCGTTTACTGTAAAAGAAGTTACTTCTCTTTCTTGTATGCCTTTTTTTGCTGCCTTGTCCGCTAGATCATTTAAGACATCACCTGCATGTGCTTTCACTTTGTGAAGTTGAATAGATATATTTTTAGTATTTAGCAGTTTAATCATAGTACCCAGAATACTGGAGTTTTTTGCTTTGTACCAATTTCTCGTGTTTTTGGTTTTTTGGCTCCTTTTGATTGCTTGTATTGCTGCTTGGCTGTCTGTAAAAATATTTATCTTGCTGTTGTTCGGAGATATTAGAGTTGCTACAAGGATTGCTGCGAGTTCAGACCTGGTTGAGAAAAACTACCCTTGAATTCTACCTTTAAGTTCCCTCACTATTGCACCTTTACTATCTAGTTGAATTATCTCATACCCCGCTATGTGGTTCTCCACTCCTCCTCCTCCAAGTGAGCCATCTGTGTAGTATGTTATTTCACTATATATCATATTTTCTTCTAACACCTGAATGAGTTCATTTTGCTTGCTCAAGTTTTTTATAATGCTTTTGATAATATGTGTTTTCCATTTTTCAGCAGAGATTGCGTACACTATTTCTGTTTCTTCTCTTTTTTCTGAGGCCTCCTCTACTGGCATTGTTAAATCCTTGAGGTGTTTTAAGTTGATTAAAGATGCCCAGCCACCCTTGCTTCTTCTTTTGATCCAAGAACTTATATCTTCTTCTTTTGATCCAAGAACTTATATCTTCTATTTTGTCGCTTTTAATTTTTAGGGTCTTGCTAGTTGGGATTAAGCTTGATTCTAGAGAGTTAGAGAGTTGCAGGTTTTCTTTATTCTCCTCTTCCCATTCAATTATGTGTACCTTTTGGTTTGGAGGTTTCTTCCTATAAATGGTGCTTTGTTGTTTTTCCTTTTGCCTATTACCCATTCTTTTTTGATCCCTTATGAGATATTTTTCTTCTTTTGGGTTTATTTGAATTTTGTTTCTTGCTTATTCTTGGATATAGGTCTTATGAATTTTCCGAGTAAGTTTGTTTGCTAGTACTGTTTCTTTTAGCTTTCAAAACCATTGAGGAGTTTTTCCTTTTGGTTTAAGTCCTCGGGTTCTTTTAATTTGTTGCCAAGTAAGCAAAATATCATCTTGTTTTGTAGTTATTTGTCCTAGACACCATAATTAAGGTTGTGAAGAGATTGGCTAGCTTTTTCTAAATCCTCTTCATTTAGTAGTGTCTTGATCTCATTAACTAGTTTATTATCTAAGGTTATGTTCCAGTTTTTCTCCACATCTATGTTTTTAATATTAAGGTCTAGGTTTTTGGCTGTTACTAGAATGCTTGTATTGAGATTGTTTTTCCATTTCCACTTTTGGATTTTATTATTTTCTAAGAGTCAAATTAGTACTGTAGAGTATAGAGAGAGTTGTGCATCTTTTAACCTTATTCTAGTAAGGTCTCCCACAAGGTCTGGGTTATTAAATCTAATTACCCATTCAGAGAATATGTGTTCTGTATGTTGTTGCCACAAAGAGTTTATGTATTATAATATATTATTTAATATATTGTCTAATAAATTTAATAATATTGTTATATAGTGCCTTTGCCCAAAAGTCTAATGCTTTTGTCTGATAACCCGATATTTTTACTAAATAATCCAGTGTCTTTACCAAATAACTATGGTAACTATATCTTGATTTTGCCAGATATTACTTTTTTTAGTATTTGATAATAAATTTGATAATATCATTAATCTGGTTTCTTTATTTAATAATTGTCTAGTACCTTTGCCAGATTATAGTAACTATATTTTTCTTTTATTATTAGTAATGTTGATAAGTTAGCATATTACCTAATAAATTTAATAATTTTTTTCTAGTGTCTTTGCTTGAAAACCAAGCTCATTTGCCTAACACTCCAGTGCCTTTGCCAAATAACTATCATAATTATTCAGCTAGTTTTTTTAGTATTGCCAATAAATTTAATATCATTTTTATCTAGTGCCTTTGTCTAATAATTGTCTAGTGCCTTTGTTTAACAATCATCCAGTACTTTTGTCTAATAATCATCTAGTACCTTTGTCTAATAATCATCTAGTGCCTTTGTCTAATAATCGATCAGTGTCTTTGCCAGATTATAGTTACTATATCAATATTGTTTTCATTATAGATAATATTGATTATCTAGTTTGTCATCTAATAATTTAATAATTTTTTTATCTAGTATCTTCACCCAAAAACCCAGTGCCTTCACCAAACAACTATAGTAACTATGTATTAATTTTGCCAAATATTAATTGTTTAGCATAGCATATAATAAATTTGGTAACTTTTTTATTAAGTATTCTCGCCCAAAAGCCTGGTGTCTTCATTTAATAATTATTCAGTACTTTTACTGGATTATGGTAACTATATCAATTTTGCTTTCACTATAGGTAATATTTAATCTAGTATGTTGCCTAATAAAATTAATAATATTTTTATCTGGTATTTTTATCCAATAGGCTAGTGTCTTCACCAAACAATAATAGTAACTATGCATTGCTTTTCCAATTGTTGATTGTCTAGCATAGTACATAATAAATTTAGTAATATTTTATCAAGTGCTTGCACTCAAGAACCTGGTGCCTCTATATTATAATTGTCTAGCGTCTTCGCAAAATAATAATAGTACATGTCACTTTGGTTATACTAACAGCTAGATTAATCAACAGTTGGTTATATTAATATTTTTTTTAAAAAAAAATCTATTATTATACCGACAATTCAATACAAAAAATTTTTTTACTAATTTTTGTAGTTGTTTATAGTGATATGATTTTATAAACCAATAGTCATTATAGATAAGCCAATTAAAATTGAGTTGGTTTTATACAACTAAAAATCACTTAACTATTGTGCTTACAGTTAGTATCTGTTAGAAAATAATTATATTGCTATAAAATTATTAATTAATATAACTTCAAGTATCGAATAATACAACTACATAACTGTTTAAAAAAAAACTTCTGTTACTACAATCTTTATTAGTTATAATGATTAAAAATTAATTTTTCTTTTAGTACTGAATTAATTTAGTATGTTTTATAATTGTCTATGCTGATTTGTATAAGTGTATTTAAAAACTTAAATAAAACTTGAATTTGTTTGTTTTTTATTTTATATATAAATATAAACTGAGTATTGCCTTTTTGTAACTATGCAGTTTTTAGAGTATCGACAAAGATCCTTTTTTTTTTTTTATTATAAGTATATTGACTATTATTCCGATAGCTATACTTAATTACTAATATACTACAAAATAATTACTTCATACTTACTCAATTACTATGAGATAATTACTTTATACTTACTCAATTACTATGAGATAATTACCTCATACTGTATTTACTTAGTTATGATATACTTAATTAATTGCTATAATAGGATATTGATAAGTAATTTATGAGTTATTTATATATATTAATTTAAATATACTTTTGAATAATTAATTAATAGATTTGTTTGATTAAATACTTGTGCAAAATTTTAGAATCATTTTTAAATACATTTTACTTGTAAATGCATATGAATGTATATAAAACTTGAAAGATTGTTTTGAAAATCAAATTGTTAATTAATATAAATATGATAAGTTAAAAGTTTAAATATTAAATTTTTTTAATAATATATCAGCATTAGCAAAATATGTCAGATAATGATAATGAAATTATTTCTATTAAGTGTAAAGACAAATCAAAAGAAAAAGATAATGTAGTATCTAAAAAATCCTAAAATATGTTAGATAGCAAGAAAAAAAACATTATGTCAATTTGCAAAAGATAATCCTAATTTTACTCAACAAGAATTGGCAAATAAATTTGTAATTGGTCAATCAACTGTAGCTGATATTCTTGCACAATTATTATATTGGCTTGGTTTAAAGAAGTAAGTACTGTAGTACAACAAAAATTAAATCAGTTACCTAATCACCTACAATTAGAAGAAATTTTTACAAGGTGGTTTGACCTTGCATTAGAAAACCATTTAACAATTACAGGATTAATTTTACAAGAAAAGGCCAAACAAGTAGTAGCAGCTTTAAATATTCAAAATTTTGCTGCATCTGATAGTTAGTTACAAGTTTTTAAAAAACAATATTATATAGTTTATACAGCACATTGTAGTGAAGCCACTAGTGCTTTAATTGAAAGATTACTTGAATTTCATCTATCTTTACAAATTGAAACATCAAATTATGATCCAATAGATATCTATAATTATGATAAAACAGCACTTTATTGGCTTTTAGAGCTTTCAAAATCACTTACTCATGGCAGTATTTCAGGAATTAAAAAACCAAAAAATCAGGTTACTATAATATTAACATGTAATGCAGTTGGTGATAAATTATTACCATTTTTTTATTCATAAATTTGAGAATCTGCATGCAATAAGAGGAATAAAAAAATCATCATTGCCTGTTCACTATTATTAAAACAAAAAAGCATAGATACAAACTTCAATTTTTCAAAATTGGTTATCTAATCTAGATCAATGTATACACTGTGCTCATTAAAAAATTCTTTTACTTTTAGATAATTGCTCAGCACATTCTATTGAAGGTTTAAACTTACGTAATGTTATAGTAGTTTTTTTGCCAGAACGTACTACTGTATAGTTACAACTATGTAATGCTAGTATAATTTACTCATTTAAGATTAGCATATATATATTTTACTCTTTATATTGTTTTTAAATACACATATAGTAATTAATACTACAAATTTATAAATAATATACTTATAGTGTTACTATCAGAAATTATTATTACAAAATCAAATTGCTGCTTTTGATAAATAAATCTTACTAATCAACTTCCAGATCTTGTAACAATTTATGATGTGATTTAATTTGTTGTACAAGCTTGGAATAAAGTTTCCAAAGATACAATTATTGTCGCAGATCATAAAAAAATTAGATTAAAATGAAACTGGTGACCTTTCTTGCCCACCTTTAAAGCTTATAAAACTCAATTATACTTTTTTATTAATAAAACTAACTCTAAACCCTTACTTTAACCCTAACTCTAACTCTAAAAAATGTTCCCAAAATATTTTAAATTTTTCTAAAAAAATAGAAAAATTTCATTTCATTTTAATTTGCTACAATTATTCATTCTTGGTATAAAATGAGTATTCTTTCTTCTATGAAAACTAATGAAAATACAAATTTAGAAACTATTGTTCTTATTAATGAAGAAGAAATTGAGTTAGAAAATCTTATTTATAGTTCCAAATTTCAAAAAAATCTGAAAATTCTGAAGACTTATATATTTTTTTATATGAATTTATTAAGATTAACAATAATTATACAACAGGGAAATGCCTATAATTAAAGACATTATAGTGAAAATACAAGAAAATAAGTTTGAAAAAGAATCAGAACAGCAAATTAAACCTGTTAAAGCAATTCAAGCTATTACAAGATTGGATTCAGTATTAGGCTATATTGAACAATCTGAACCAAGTATTGAAATCAATATTAAAGTTTTTTGTTAAACTCAAATATATATAAAAAGAGCTAGTCTATCAGGTTAAAAAATTCTAAACAAGCAACATTAGACTTATTTTTTATTAGAGAATAAATAATTGTTGATATTTTATTTTTTTGCAAAAATATTTGCATTTTTTTTTAAAACAAAACTAGATTTTTAGTTTATTTATTTTATATTATATACAAATAATTTTTTCAACCAAAGAAGATATTTTTAAATATGGCATTTGCTTTTATATTAACAAAATATATTAACATAAACTTATGCAAGTTATTATGCCCCAAAATTTTGTGCTATAATTATGGTCCGGGCACAATATTGCGCAATAAATTGCAAAATATTGCGCAATATATAACATAATATTACAAAATATATTACGCAATATTATGAAACTTATAGCATAATATTATGTTATATATTGTGCAATATTTTAAATTAATTTGAAACAATTTGAAACAATTCAAGTTAAATTGCATAATACTTTAAATGTAATTTCAAAATATTTTATAAAGTTCAAAATATTTCTCAATATTTCAAAAGATTTCAAAAAAATTTGAAAGTTTTCAAAATTATTTATATTTTTAAAATGACTAAATTGTGATAATCACTAGTATCACATAATCAAATTCAATTAATAAAATTTTTAATTTATTTTACTATATATGATACTTCAATAAAATTTTATATTAATAAATTATTACATAATTATAGAAATTATTTATTTTTATAGAACAATTCCATCAGCTATGTGCAACTATACACTTCCATACACCACTTTATTAAATACAACATGCTTTGTGTTGCTTCACTACGGCTACCACCTTTAACGGCATGATGAATCATACTACCATGACACCAAGACAAAAACAAAGTACCAAATACGAACAATCAAAACTCGGCACCAATGACAAAACTATCCCAGTAATGATAAAAGTGAGACAAGACAACCACCTACTCAAAATGACTCATTATCTGAAATGAAAAAAAGAAACATAATACTATACTAATGGCATAGTGAATCATACTACCACGACACCAAGACAAGAACAAAGTACCAAATATGAACAATCAAAACTTAGCATCAATGACAAAGGTATCCCAAAGCGAGACAAGATGACCACCTACTCAAAATGACTCTTATTATCTGAAAGGAAGAGTTAGTACTGCACGAACACAACACTGAAAACATGAAAAAAAGAAACCTAAAACTATACTAACGGCATGGTAAATCTACCATGACACCAAGACAAGAACAAAGTACCAAATACAAACAATCAAAACTTGGCACCAACAACAAAGGTATCTCAGAGCAAGACAAGACGACCACCTACCCAAAATGACTCTTATTATCTAAAAGGAAGAGTTAGTTAGTACTGCATGAACGCAATACTAAAAATATGAAAAAAAGCAACCTAAAACTATACTAATACATAGTGAATCTACTACAACACCAAAACAATAACAAAGTAACAAATACAAACAATCAAAACTTGGCACCAACAACGAAGGTATTCCAGAGCGAGACAAGATGACCATCTACTCAAAATGACTCTCATTACCTAAAAGGAAGAGTTAGTTAATACTGCACAAATGCAATACTGAAAACACGAAAAAAATAAAGAGTACTTAATAATGCATTAGCCTAAAACTACACAAACGGCATGGTGAATCATACTAACATGAAAACAAATACACAATCAAAGCTCAGCACCAACGACGAAAGAATTCTAGTAATATGAAAGTGAGAAATTTACTTCAAATAATACTCATTACACTAATAAAAAGTTAGTATAGCATGAACACTAAACACAAAACTGAAAACAAGAAAGAAAAAAAAACTAATATCAAGTCTGAATGCAGTTATAATATATAGAAATATAGAAATAAGTTATAATATATAAAAATACTGAAATAAAAAAAAATGAATAGACAATAGAAAATAAATAAATAAATGTTTTATTGTTTACAACAGGTGGTAATTATCACCACCGGTTAATTTGATTATACTCGAAATATTTCAAAATATTTCGAAATATTTTGAAATATTTTAAAAATGATAAGTTGTTTTCAATTATTCATGAGACACCTGAGCCGAATGATTTTTTGACCAATCCGGTTTACTGTTGTGTTATTTTTTCGATAAAATAAATTTAATAAAAAATTGATATAATATTAGATATATATATGTACGTATAATTTAAAATCAGATAGTTGTTGAATTCAAATTATTTGAAAAATTTTAGAAAACCTATTATCGTGGTGATAACTAGTTCATGATATACTTGTCTTTTCACTTTTGTATCAGTTCGCTTTGCCTTGACCATTAAATTTGTATATTGCAGATATTTCTTATTTGCCCTTGCTAAGCATATAAGAGTCGTAACTATCTATAACTTTGTTAACTTATTTACAACTTTTATGTGCGTGGCAGAGGTGTGCTTGTGATATACTAATTTAATAGTCAAGACAAAGCTAATAGATGCTACCACCACGATACCTATCAACTCAAGACATTTAGGTATTAGCAGCTCTTCTATAAGTTGGGTTCTTGTACATTTTCAAAGATATAGTTGTATTGAAAAACTTTTATCACTTTTAGAAAAACCATATTCTTTAAAAATGAAATAAAAGAAAATTACAATCCGAGATAGAACTTTGGTTGGAATATAACATTAGTCTTACAACAATTCGAAGAGCTATACACTGTTTGGAAATATGCACAAAAAGGTAATATTTCATATATTAATATATATTTTTATTTTATAAAAGGCTTTTTTGTATTAATAGCTTCTGATTTAGGTTCTTTTATGTTAATAATATCCAATTTAGATCTTTTTTGCTATTAATTTCTAGATTAGTTGCAGTTACTTCAGAAAAGTCAGATAACAAAAAAGTATTTAGATGATAAAGATTCTAGAGAATTTTTAATTATTATATCTACTGTTTTGCTTTGATTTTGTTGATCATAATTTTTAATGCATCTTTGACAAATATTAATTAAGTCTTAATTTTTTGGAATCTTGACTTTAGTTGAATTTTTGGTCCAATTGACGAATTCTTAATTGTATCTAACTTTTTTTAATATTAGCACCTATTCATATAATAATTATTATAATACCCAGAAGGTTTAAATAACAACAGTCCCCTAATGAACAACCAGGTGATCTTTGATCCTTGTGAAGCCATGCAAGCCGGGCATACGGTGATTGCTGCAAAAGACACCACCCTATCTACCTCAGATACCATATCATCATTCCCCTCTGAGGTAGCACTTACCACACTAAATACTACTGACAACCAACTCTCTGACTCCTCTGACGAACCACCTTCAGAAGATGACTACAATAGTGAAGAATACCGTACAAATCCAACATCATTATCTTATTCAAGATAGTGGAAAGGCACTTATCACAAAGTTGACCCAAACACATACTTTAACAAATTCCTTTATTACCACAAATTACAACTTCTACCCTTACTACAAACTATTGGCTTATTCTTGCAATATATTCAAGAAGAATACCCTGAATTTTATACAAACAACTATATTAAAATATCATTAAAACTAACTAGTACCACCTATTTCTTCTCTGAAGCACATGTATATCTCCCTCTTGAAGGAATCTTACCAAATTATACAAACTACTACCTCATTGAATACCTTCATAACCACTATAAAGTACCACTCAAATCAAACAACTCTTCTATACAAACTTCTATTGATGACTCTTTCTTTATTAACTTATCTATATTTTTACAAACATCTGATCCCACCTTATACTCTGTCCCACCAAATCTTAACACAATCTCATCAAACCCTTCTACACCCTCCTCTTTAACTTGTCCTTCATCACCTATTAATTCACCCACTCCATTAGCTAATGACCATGACTTATATCTCACTATAGCTACACACAATGTTAGGGGCTTCAATACTCCTTTCAAAAGACAAATTTGGCAAGATTACTGTATCTATCATAATATCACAATTGCCAGTATTACTAAAACAAAAATCTCACATAAAACAAAACTATCCTTCTGTAACAACAACCTTTATACTTACTACTAGGCAAACCCTAATAGCTCTGCTATTATAATACGCAGTTTTCTTAAACCTCATGTATATAGTTGCCAAACACATTCTGGTGGTGCAATTGCACTTGATCTTTTCTTTAAAAATCCTATTAAGCTCCAAATTATATTAGTGTATCTCTCTTCTACTGACTTCTCCCAAGGAATACTACCCAAAATACTGTCATTAGCTAGATTTTGCATACCCAACAACAAAATATTCACCCTATTGTTCTTAGTGACTTTAATACACATGACAATATATTCAGCTCCTCTGCCAGATTTAAGCTTATTAATTTTCTACACTGTTCAAACATGTTTGATATCGGTTCTCACTCAAATTATACTTCACATACCTGGTCTAACAATACAAGCTCTAGTAGAATTGACTACATTTGGACCAACTCATTTAACATTCAATTTCTCCTAGCTTACAATCTTGATAACAGTAAAACAAGCACACTCAGTGACTATCTTATACTCTCTACTATCTGGACTTTTCCAAATGCATACAGCAAACTACCTCGCTTATGTACTAATATCTGTCGCCGAATTTTTAACTATAAATCAACATCTTCTGACCACTGGCTCGAGTTTTCTGACTTTGCTACTGAACTTTTTCAACAACACTATATTTCTACCTCTACTAACTTTACCATTAGTATCGATAGTATCTGGCATAAGAACCAGCACTGTATTATACAGGCTGCAATTAAAAAAGTTTTCAACAAAGTCACACGCAAATGCAGCTATAACTATAAGTATAGCCACACTGTACTGCGCTCCATACAGGACTCAAAAAACTCAACCACCTTATTAAAACAATTCGCTCTAACACTGACTAGTCAGATATGTATCTGCAATACATCCATTTAGATATTCTATTAATTAATCAATATACAAAGTGCAATCTTTAGTCACCCTCAACATTGG